AAGGGGAGGCCCTTCGCTTCCGCTTCCGTGGGGGGCTTTTTTGGGCACCCGTTTTTGGCTGCTGTTTTTTGAAGGAGGCATCAAATGAATCGAGACCCTCTGCTGAAAGGCTTTGCCTGCGCCTTGCGTCCTCCGCCACCCGTGGAAAAGATGGCCTACCTCCCAGTGGGCCCATTCTACTAAGACGATGCGCACCAATCGCCCTCTACATCGCGGATTGAAGGGTTCCCCACCAAAAAGCAATTCTGAGAACCCCATCAAAATGTAAGCACTTTAAGGGACGCAGCAGCGACGACTTTCCACTGCTTGCACCATTCCATGTCACCAGAAACCTAAAATGAGTCCCCACTCTACCTGCCTCAGAGCTTGCCCCAACCAAAATGATGTGTTTGATTATGGCCTTGATCCGGGAATAGCACAACGTAAACAACAAGAGAGACACATGTCCTTGTTTTTTAGGGGGTAATGAGGGGGGAGGCTTAGATCTTTTTGACCGCACGCATGACAAATGGCGAGGGAAGGTTGCAGTCGCTCAGGCGCCCGCTCGGCAGCCCCGGACCAATTCGCTATACAGATTCGGGAAAACGCCATGAGCAGCACCGAGAAACCTTTTGAGTCTGCAGCAAGCGACAGATCCATCCCAGCGTGGACCTGCTGTAAGTGGGCCAAACCCATTTCGCACCAGATTGAAGCCATGGTTGAAACCCGAGATTTGGATAGTGGTTTTGGACTAGATGAAAAACGTGCTCGACCCTGGCTTCATAGTTCTAGGGGTACCTTCCCCATCCTTTGCAGGGATCCTTCTTTCTAGAAAACCTCCAGAAACCCAGGGAACACGGCCGGTTATTGGAAAGAACGATGGTTGAAAAGAATGGGGAATCAAGCCCTAGAATAGTCACTCAACAAAATTCTCGATAACTCCTCAAGAGAAGAAACCCACACGGTTGCTCATGCGAAAGAACTCACTTCACGCCCGAGCCAGGCCACAATCGCAAATGAGCCACGGTCCAACTGTGCAATTCTGGAAATGCACATATGGATGTCTTTTGTGATGGTACCCCTTTTTGGGTTGGTTTAAAGGGAAAACCAAAAGGCCTTAGGAACAAAAATGATTGATGAGTGATTGGTGAGTCCTGCAGTTTTTGTGGAGTGCCCTGCACGTCCCCAAATTGACCATTCGGCGGACATTCTATCCCCATGTAATGATATCACCAAAGGTTCGAACCAATGGTAGTTCATGTCCAAACAGCTCATGTCATCATGGAGAGTAGGTTTCCTACAGTTCATGTCAATCATCGTTCCAGGGATGCTTAGGTGGTGCAGGATGTCGTTGATCCACAGCATGGGAGCCTCTGGTCACCCTTCATGCCCCAGGCTGCATCCCAGGGCCTCTTCGGCTCAATCGACTCTCGGTTCTAGGCACTGCCCACGTTGGTAGGGTTCCTGAAGCTCCGCTTTGCCCAAGGACTCACTGTCCTGTTGGGGAGGGTTTGTGGCAAATGGTTTGCGCGAAAAAAGGCTGGAGGAAAACCAGTCAGAAGGTTGCCCGGAGCGTTGGCGCGCTAGGGGGGACTCTGGAAGTAGAAGGTGTTCACCTTTCAGACACTGGGCGCCCTTCGTTACCCAAACTTCTGCCCTCAGCGCAAACGTATTGCAAAATTCCAGGCGTCGTCACCAAAATCTCGCAAACGTTCACTTTTCCTGCTTCGAGCGGTTTTCCCAAGACCGGGCTGACCGGTCCTCCAAGATGATCGGTCACTGAAAGGAGCGAGCGACAATTGAAGTGCAAAACGAGCGCAAATATCCGCGAAACGAGCGCACATATCCGCAAAAGAGTCCAAATTTAAAAACGTAACAATCGCTCGCCTCGCTCTCCTCCGGACGGAAGAAGGGGATTTGATCGAGCACTTTTTCGGGGGGCAAGCGTTTTTGGAGCAGAAATCGGTGATTCGAGCGGTTTTTTCTCGTACCTGAAACAAAGGCACGTTGGGTGCTTCAGGAGGTCGACTTTGGGCAAAGCAAAAATACAGCGTCACCCTTCAAAAGGTGACCCGAGCTGCGACGGAGAAAGCACGAGACATCGGCTCAGTTTCCTCGTCGTGGTTTTTGACGAGGGCCTCTCAGTCAGGAACCCTGCCGTTGAAAATCGGAGTTGTCACTCACTTGCCAAAGGCCTGGAAAGGTCATTTTAGAACCTGAGGTCCAACTAGACAACCACCACCAAAGCAGAGAACAGGTTGACCATGGGCAAGTGGCAAGATTTGGAAAGTGGAAAGTCAGCTGGAAAACTTGGAAAACTTACCTTCAATAAAGTCGATGCTTGGCAAGTGAGGTGAACGCTGATTCCGTCCATTTCAAGCGCACAGGCATCACCTCAACCGTCCCCGGCCTATGAAATCGCAGGCGTCAAAGGTGTGCTAAAGCATTTGTCAGTCGACTGGACGTAAGCCCCGGTCGGTACTCGAGGTCTTACTTGATAAAGCATATCCAGCTGTCAGCGAACCTTAAGCTACACAAACGAACTAAGTTCTTGCCCTGTGCCAGGAAAGGATTGTCAAGCTCATCTTTCGGCAAAACTGGGCACGCCAACGGATCAAACAAGCAGATTGCAGCTTACAACACGTGACCGCGATGTGCACTGCTTCCTACCGATGCGTCATCCAGGATCCCATCAATTGTCAAAGCCGATCTGTTGGCCTTTTGTCAGTGTGGGCCACCCAGCACCCCAAACACAGAGCCCAAGAAGCCCCGGAACATGTGCAGGAGCTCCCAACCTGCCAAAGCAACCCAAACATAGGATTGGCCTTTCAACCCCAGAGCTGAAGGCCTGGAATGCAAAGACCGGGCGGGAACTGACTCCCTGACTCGCGCCACATGAGCGCTGACGCGCTCATATGCTACCGGGGTCAGCCCCCAGGTTACCGGCTAGGCCACGTGCCATGCAAAGTGGAAAACCTGAGTGTCTAGGGGTCGTTTCCCCATTATCTCAGAGACTTCCAGAAAACCGAAGCCAGTAGCACACCCTGGCTGCAAACACATCGGCCAGTTGAGAAGGATCATGGTCGAAACGAATGGGGAATCAACCCGTAAACTGGTGGGGCAGCGCACCACCAGCAGGGCTCCTTTCAAGACCTCAGCTTGACCTTTTGGCTGACTTGGGATGGAATTGCCCGAGACGCCGCGTCTTGGGAGCCCTGACAATAAAACGCAAACCCCTTCTCACTGGGGCCTCCGGGGGTCGCTGGATTTGCTCTCCACACCGACTGGCAATAGCCTAGTGCTGTTGGAGGTCCAAATCAAGTTAAAATCGAGGGGATGCCCGGCCTCCGTAAACCCGCCCTGTGGGATGATGTTTAGGCTTCCTTTGAAATTCCCAAGCTGCTGCCAACTTTACTAGCCTTCCGAGAGGTGGGCCTCGGAGCAACTCCCCACAAGGTGCCACTGGACTTCGAATGGGGAACCTTGAGCCCCGAGCCACCCGCGATGGAACTGGTATTTGAACTAGGTATCTGGTCTCAGGAATATATTTGAACAAGGTTGATGGTTAGTTCGGTCGAAACAAACTGGCCAGTCTTGGACCTGCAAGAGTATGTTTGTCAGAACTTTGGAGGCCGCCGCATTTTGAGAACATTTGGGGGGGTGACCATTTTTGGCGAGAAATGCCTCTGAACACCGGGGACACGGAACAAATCGTAGGACCCCCAGCCTCGCGTTCTGAACTCCAGACTCCGGGGCGGCACCAGCGACGGCCGGTTCCAGAAAAGCGGGTGTCACAGTCACCCGCCCCGAAGGCATTCTTCCATTTGAGTTTGAAAGGCACCCTGCCTCCCACCACGGATGCATCAGGGACACTTTCGTGAATTTTATGTCCAGCAACTTTTGAGGGTATGTCAGTATTTCCCCATCATGATTGCTGGCCAAGTGGAAGTAGTCTCATTTTCTGTTGGTGGGAGGGAAAACGGAAGCGAAGTTCGAAGCTGGTTGCGAACGGCCCTTCGGGCCAATTAAAGGCCAAGCACCTCTTTCACGCTGGTTGCCTTTTGTCCCCACTGTGGTCCACACCCGAATGGGAACTCTGAGCCCCCCTCCCCAAGTCACGTCTTTTTTTACGGGGATATTGCTCAGTTTCCAACCTCCAAACCCCAAAAATACAAAAACCCTTTATTTGGAGGTTGGCGTTACTTGGATTCTGCCTCATTTTTTGCCAACCTCCCAGAACGACACCATCGTTTCCCTTTCATACTTTACTCATCACTCCACATCAGGGAGTTTAGATTCACCAACAAAGTTGATGTATAAATCCACCAAAATTGGACATGTGGGGAACCTGGTTCAAACACACCAACGAGAACATCGCGGGAGGCAAAAGGCCATTCCCAACTGGGAGAGGCGCGGACCACTTTGTCAAAACCCCCTTGCAAAGGGCCCTTCTGCCCGGCCAGGGCCGAGACGTCCCCCCGTCTTGGGGATAGCCGCGGTTTTGGCCAAGTTTACGGTGGCAACGTGGCAACGTGGGCGTTCCTCGCCGTCGCCGTTTAGGGCAAGAAGGGCATGGGAAGGCCGGACGTGGCGACCAGCTTCTGCGCCGTGCTGATTATATTGTTGCTTTTGTCTTCGTTAATGTGGGGCAACAGGTCGCGGATGGGTGAGTCTCCAATTCCTTGAATGCAGAGAAGTATCTTCCATAACAACAAGAACGGCTGCCACCTTTAAGACATATCCTGAAGACTGTGTTACGGGAGGGATTGACCTCAATATAGGCTTGGAGCCGGCCAGAAGCGCCGGCGACCAAATCCTGGGCCTTGAGGCGCGCGATTTGCTGTTTTTGTCCCGGCAGCGTGGGAACTTGGTGTTCCTCGCCGTCGCCGGATGAGCACTGGACCCACTCCCAGGGTACAAGCCTAAAATTGATTTCATCCAACCCAAACACTCCTTTTGTCAACCCACTATGAAACATGAAAAGAACAAACCGCATCCCTAAGACATGCGTTTTAGTCAAACCCCCCCCAAAAAAAAAAAAACGTGCAAGGACCGATGGAAACCGATATCAGGGCAGGAAGGGCATTGGGAAGCCGCTCATGGCCACCAGGGTCTGCGCCTGGTTCCGCGCGCTCATCTCAGAAGGCCCACGGCAGGAAACATGCCTGGCCAGGCTGTAGGATCAAAAAAAGATGCACCAGAGCAGACTGTGATTCGTGAGTTTCGGCACCCGTGCGTTGGTCCAAGGATTCAGCGCCTTACATGTTCAAACTAGGGCCACATGGTTTGTGCTACTGTGGCCGGGCAGCCATCCGCGTACCAGAAAGGTTCGCGGAACCCTTGAGAGCTCCGCCGAACCGAAGGCTCCCTGCGGCGAACACTCCTCCATGGCAACAAACTAAGTCACGAGTCCGTACTACGGGCTGCACGGGCGAACTCCACCGAGCCGGGATCCAAAGATAAGCCGACCGTCGCAGAGTTGCCGGAGCGGGCCATGAGCCAGACATCTTGCCCCATGTTCCCAACTTGATGATGGATTTGTTGAAATGTTCACCTAAGCCCGTTGGGTCAGAATCAACACTTGCCGCCCAAAACAACGAGAAGAGCTCCGCGCCTATTTTTGGTTGAGACTGTCCTTACAAACCTTGCAACTGCTGGTTAAAATCCACGGAGACAAGGAATGCGCGCTTGACCCCCGGAGTCATGTGTGAGGCGGAAAATACCTGGTGTTCGCCCTCATCCTACACTCAAATGTATTGAATTCCAAGCGGCGGTCTTCTTACAATAGTTGGGGCCTCAAAATTGGAACCTCACAAGTGGCCAGTGTGTAAGCATGCGCACCTGAGAGCATGGTCAAGCCAGCAAACAAGAGCTCAGGACGGCAGGAAAACAGGCAGGGAGCGAAGCAGGGAAGGAAAGAGCAAGGAAGAAAAGGAAAACAGGCAGGAGCAAAAGAAGCATAGCAGCTGGCAGCACTGCAGCAGGTAGGGCTCGAAAACACTATGGCAAAAGGGCATGGCGGCCTGGAGGGCAACCAGTCATGAAGCCACCCCCGGCCTTGCGCTTCCACTTCCAAAATACTTGTCGCAACTTCCGCGAAATCTTACGAGCCAAAACAGCACAAAAAAGAAAAGTGCATGCCTTTCGGAGACACCAACAAACAACGCCCCCACATATTTCAAAGGCACTGATGCTGGCACTCACCAACCTGTTCGGGATGCAAATCCGACTTGAGCGAATCTTGTGAACACTGCAGTTTTGACTTGCACTGCAGCGGCCTACTTGCGCGAAGGCTAACCGAAACCCTTGGATCCCCGAATGCATAGTAAGTATGCCCGGTTTTTTTGGACTCATGTGTCCTCAACTTAGTTTCAAACAGTACCCCAACCCCAGCCCCTGAGCATACCTCCCCCCATGCGCCAAAGCGTACCTGTGCTCGCTGCGCTGGCGCTTGGACTTGCTCCGCCGCTTGGCCTGAGGGCGCCAAAAAAAAGGCGAGGGAGGCTTCCCTTCTTTGGAGCTGCTTCAATCGGAAACAAACCAAAAAGGGAAGCCAAAACAAAGGTAAAAGAAAGTAGTTGCATACTAATGGACGCTGTCATGTAAGGGTAAATGGCTAATGCAAAAATGTCGGGTTGACGGACAAAACTGCTGTGGATGGACAAAATCCACTTCGCTTCTTTGAGTTGGGGGCAGGCCCCGTACGTGTCCCAGGCTGCTTTCGTCAAAGCGTGACATCCTCAAAACGAAAATGTTCGCAACCAAAAGCAAGCCCTTCTTCAAATGACCTTTTCGAAACGGTGATGTAGAGTCACTGGTGAAATCCAGGCGCACAACTTTCCGGAAGCTCTTGGCAACCTCAAAATAGCTCTCGACTCTAGACCCTTCTGCACCGAGGCTTCCAAGGTCTTTCCTGGAGACCGTGGCTCGAAATGGGTTTCCCCTAAGACAGCCGAAGCCAAACGCAGCTTTCCGTTCTCAGCTCTCAACTGAACTGGGAACCCCAGTTGCCCATTGACTTGAGACCTTCAGAATTTGTCTTCCCGAGCATACACGCCGTCTCCTCTTTGAGCAAACCCCCAAACAAAAAAGCTGCCCCCAAAGGAGTCCACTGTCTTTCTTGTGGGCTCGGCGGAGTCAGATTCAGCCTGTTTCACCTTTCGTTGAATTCACCCCCTTGTCTTGCTAGATGATCCGGAGAATGGTTGAGAGGTTCGCTTTGCCCCAGGTGTCCCCTCTCCCCCAGCCCCCCCCCCCACCCCCATTCGCAAAGCCTCGTTTTTGTGGGTTGCTAACCAAAACGGTTGGCTTCCTTTCGATTTGCCGTTAAGAAAAACCAAAAAGTTAAAACTACCAAAAAAGAGACACACCCCCGTGTCACACATGCTAACCAGTCCGGCAACTGGTAAAAGGAAAAGAGATTTCAAAATGGGACATGTCATGCGTATGGGGCTAAAACTGGAACAAACCCAGGTCAAAAGCTCCAAATTCGTTATACATGGCTCAGACCGGGAATGCGACATTCGCTTCTAAGCTGAGCTCCCCCTCCCTGCCTTGCCCTCCTTTGGCGATGTGGTGGGGCTTTCGAGGGGGACCTACGGCAACCAGAGGGCAGCTGAGCGTGGCAGCTGCTATCCGTTTTGTTTCGAAGCAGAAAGTTGGCCGTCCTGGCAAACGATATTGAGTGACTTTTGTGAACCTGAAAGTCAAACAGGGATTCAAACTTCCTAAGCAAAAAGTTGGCCGCAGGGTAATTCACAGCAGGTTCCGGTTTGGAAGCATTCATGAACACATGCCAACGCACAAATCAAAATGGATCCCCCAACAAGACCCGCCGTAGGTCCACATTCTCTGCCGCCTCGCCTCGCCAACCAAGGAATCAATAACAAAGAGCGAAAGAACTAGCAGATCTAGTCTCAAAAACTAGGATTCGGAACCCTCGAAATGCGTTCCTTCCTTTTCAAAAAGCACGCTTTCTGAGTTGGCCAGTCCAAAACTGTTGCTTGCCACAAGAAAAGGTTTGAGACAACCCCGCCCCCAGACATAAGAACAATCAAAGAAGGCAAAAACTGAACACTCACAAACAGACACACGCATCGTTCCTGGGCGGCTATCAGACCACCAGGTTGGCCGAAACCCTCTTCCAGCCTACAGTTCGAGGAAACCTTCGGAAATGAATCCAAGTGAAAAGGGTAAAAGGCGGGGCCTTCGGAAGAAGGGCCTAGAAATACAACCGTGACTGTGCCATTGGAAAGCCTTGATTTATGTCCAGAAGTCGGTTCACTGAGAGAAATCTTGTGGCTTTTGGAGGCCATAAAGGCGGCTTCCGAGGCAAAGGCAGCGGAACCTACAACCACCAAACAAGAAAAACACAATCGCCAAACGGAAAGGGCGCGCCACACCTTCCAGGACAAACGCGATATAGGTGTCAATAACGGAGAAAGCAGTGGGAAGAAGCCAAAAGTACGAGATCCCAACCATTGCCCGAAAAAAAAAAAAAAGGAAAAAAAAAAAAAAACGATGCCCCGTCGACTACCAAAGCAGCCACATATATCGCTTTATGGAGCTCCGAGAGGGCGGGGGGGTGGGGTGGGGAAGGGCTGGAGGGATATGATCTGGTACAAACTTCGTGGCAAGCGCAAGCTTTCGCAAGGTCGGGTACGGATTCCGTGGCAGGCACATCGCTGGATAGATATATAGTGATTGAAAAATAGATAGGTAGATCTAGCTTGATTGATTGTCGAGGTTTCCCTGAAACCCCTCCCAACAAAAGTTTCTCTAAGGACCTGAACGAAAATGAATGGGGCTCACCGTTCCCCGTGCGGGCCTTGCTCGTGACGCACATCCGGCGCAAAGCCCGCACGGCGTCACGTTTGCCCCGGCAAATCCCCTTTTTGACGCCCACCAAATGGCGTTTGTGTGCCTCGTGGTTTTTTGTAGCTTCGGGCGCCAAAAGCCGAGGCCGACGCCTCCGGCGTTGGGCCGTCCACGGGTTCCAAGTGCGGCAAGTCAGAACTTGAGGCGCGGCCTGCAGAGCCCCGTAGGTAGAAGGCAGATCAAGCGAAAGGCAAGGCAAACCTTTGGGGAAGCTATGGAAACCGAAGCCAACAGGGAAACCTTCGGAAGCCATGACAAACCTTTGCATACTAAGGGGCGGCCATCACATCATGTGTGTTTCCCCAAACGGGAGGGGTGAAAACGGTTGGTTCTTTCATGCGGTGCCCCCCTGCAACCACCAAAGAAGGGCTCAGGACTTGGCGTGTGCTCAAGTTCCTGAAAGCCTACCCTCCCACCAAGTAACATGGAACCTGACAGGAAGGTCCTGGAAAACATGTTTTTCTTTAAAGGGACCCCCTCTCCTGTTCCATGTGAATGTATGCTAACTAACGCCCCCCCCCCCAAAAATAAAAATAAAAAAATGGTTCTCAGAACCATAGGTGTCCTTTTAGGGGAAATAGATGGCCCTGGTAGATGATTAAACCACCTGGTAAACCAGGGCCATCTATTTTTTCTAGCAAAACAACCAAAAAGGACACCTATGCTCAGAACCCTTCTGCTTGGGTTGGTTGGCTGAGCGCAGGCAGGTCAGAGAGAGGGGTGTTGACCCCGATTTGCAACTTTGCAGCACGTTTCCCCAGGGTGAAGGGCTTCCTAATCCTGATCAACACCACTGAATGGGTGTGTCTTTCTTTCGGGCACCCAAACAAGTTGTGGTTTTCCATTTAGTGCCCCTCTTAAAGTCACAAAACATGGCTCCCTCAACAACAGCCACACCCAAGTGGTTCTGGTCAGTCGCTCTAGCTGCCCGGTTTCACAAGGATTATTTGAGATTTCCCTTGGGGTAACCAGCCACTTCGCGCTTCCCAGATGCTTGGCCGCCCCGCACAGCCAGGAGAACAGGTTCCTCGCAGCGACCATTGCTAGCGCCTTCGTCCCTTTCGCAGTGCGCAGATGCTTCTGAGCCAACGGGCAAAGGCCTTTGGACACTCTGGCACCTTATGAAAAAGGCCTCAAGTCGAGCCACAATCAGGGGCTCATGACAATACCGCGACCTGAATTGGGGGATCCACGAGGAGCTTGCGGACCCATTTTCAGGGGAGAAGAGCACAAAGGAATACAATCATGTTCTGACATGCCTGAGGGGCAGGTGACGGAAACCCGGATTGCACGACTCTTCGATCGCCTGATGGCGGGAAAAATGTTCGATGAGGGGGGGGGGCGGGAATTCATGAGCATAAGCCGTGTTCAAAGCGTGTCACCTGGTTCCCCACCCCCTCAGGGTGGAATCCGCCCCAAAAGTAAAAAGGGCCTGCCATGGCTTGCAGCGGCCATGCATTCGTTTACGTTCTCTGATGTTTTGCGGAGGTGTTCCTTTTCGAAGTCAGATACCTCTCGACTTGTGCATTCCAAGGGGCCAAAAGGAAGATTGAGCACAAAAAGATTCAAACACCCATGTGTTCGCTGCCTGGATCCCAAAAAAAACTCTACCCCCCTGAGGGGGCCCCATTCAAAGAAAACAAAACAGCGCCTGGCAATGTTCTTTTGGAGCTTTTGCTAGACTCATAAACTCCCTTGAGGAGCTTTCTGAGGGAGGTTGACATGTTGTTTTCATGGGATCTAAATTCCTACGGCCAACGCCCCCTGTTCATCCATCGGAAATTCATCTGGAGGTCCCGGAGGGAAGGTTTCCTTGTGGCGGGTGGGCGGGGGGTTCATGGCCACCGAGGATTGGCAATCCGTGGACGCCATTACAACAAAGAAAGCCACTACCAAGTTCACAGAGCAGTGGTACGGAGCAGCTATCTAAGCGTCGCATGCGTGCGGATGCCTTTTTGCATCATCACAACTGATCACGGCATGTTGTCATTATCCTCACCCTCGCCAGAGTCACAATCAGAATAGATTGCTTCGTGGGCTGAAATGATTCCCCAGAACCATGAGGTGGCCAACCAAAAAACACTGAAGATCACCTCAAGAATCAAAAGAAACTTCATTCGCCCGAACTTCGATTGCGACTCACCTGAAACTACACCTATGCGGTTGGCTACCTGTAGCACACAGCGCGGGGTGTTGGCTTTACATACTCGCCAATGATCTATAGCCGCGACTTGCCAGGCTTGGACCGAGCCCTTGCTTGACATACTGAACCAGAGGTTGGTTTTGCCCACCAGCAAAGCATCTGGTTATCCCTTCAAAGGAGAGGGGTGATTGGTGGAAGCAAGGTTCGCCCAACCCTAATACTTGCAAACTGCAAACTGCACACTGCAATTCCTCGAATTGCGAGCCAGGCGGGCCGAATTGCGAGCCAGGCGGGCGCAAGAAATCTATACATCGCCCATGGGCCTTGAACTTTTGGCAAAAGATTCGAACTCCGCCGAAATCCTTGGCCAGACTTAAACCGCCGGCGGTTTAAGTGAAGGCTGAAGCTTTGCTGAAACTCAAAAGGGTCAAATAAGTCTGACAGTAAGCCTACGGCACAGCGCACAGCGATCCGCGCGCGCTGTGCATATCCACGCCTCTCACCTACTGCGCGCCGCTCCCAGCTGGTTGCAAACGTGGGGAGATTCCCTCCAGGGTTCCATCGAACTGGCAAGGAAAGATCCCTTGGCTTTTACCGATTATTTCCTTTGCGGTTATGAAGAAAAACAACACGTATGGCAGGAAGGATCCTCGGCCTCTGAATCCACGCCAAAGCCAGCTCGTATGCATCACCAGTGCATACGAAGCCAACTTTCCCTACGGTCATGGTAGAAACGGCGCGGGGAAGCCAGACATGACCACCAGGCAATGTGCTTGCTCACGGGCGCTCAGCTGCTGAAACCTGTCCTTTTTCCCCGGCCTGTCAGATCGATGTGCCGAGTGGGCGGCACGTGGACAACCGTGGACAAGGCACCGCAGCAAGATTCCCGGCGAGGTGGTGAAAGTTACCAAAGGCGAAGCATCGGAGACATGATATACAGGGCAGGGTTTGGCATAGCTTGGTTCGACAACTGGACCCTGGCCCGCTCCTGGAAGAGAAACCACAAGGCGGTTGTTTACACGATACATTGATTTGAACGTGGTTTTATCAGGGGTTGGCCCAACCCTGCTAGGGAGCCCTATTTTCTAAAGATGTCTCCGCACGAACGGCTGGACGAGAACTCCCTCAACTGACAAGAGCACGTGCTCAACGTGTGCCAACTCATTCGGCCCAATGCCGCCTGGTCCTTCCTTGCTTGACCTTGGTCACTTCTTGGGTGGCCTTGCTTCGCTTGGCCTGGCGGATCAAAGGAACTCCCGCCACACATGAACCCGAATCTGGCTTTGCGTCAGAAGGGAACCCACGAAGTGGTTTGTCTTTCTGGTTTTCCTTCCACCCCCCCTTTGGCTTCCTTAACCCAAAAGAACAAAAAGCAACATGAAACTGAAACGGGAGCTGGAGAATTGGGTCCCCCCTTCCTTTCCCCCAGGCCTTCTGCACTTTCCGCGGAAACTCGGGCGACTCGGGCGGAGAGGGGAGCGGACTGGTTGGCCGGACCTCGCACTCCAGCACCCTGAATCCTATGTGTTAAAGTCTGCCTTGGCGTACTCTGAAAAAAGGAAATCATAGCAAACTGAAGTGGGGGGAGCCCTGAGTCTTCCAGGACCTGTTGGCCAAAACTTTTGCAGCAGGCTCTCAGTTGGTTTCTTCTTTGGAGGGGGGGAGGCTCAGTCGTCTCTAATTGGTCCGGGTTTTGGAACTTTAGCCCCTGGCTCTGCTAACCGCCCTAACCCCCCCAAGCCACAATAAGGGCTAAGCAGATTTCTGTCAAACATCAGCCTGCCTGTTGGGGAGCAACATCTAGAGCTACACCTTGTGAAGCAAATGGCCGATATTCGCTTACTCATTTTCCAGCCCGGTGCTGTGACCAAACAAGGGACACCCTGGGGCTCGGCACTCCTGAGGCCCCTTCATTACCCCAAACAAAGGGGGGAGCAGACATCCTGTTGGCGACCGTCCAAATCTCGGTGCACTGGACTGGGATACTTCGGCCAATGCACCACTCCAACTCTTAAGCTTCTGCCTTGCCACGCATGACAAACATGTACGACAACACATCTTCTGAGCAAGAACATGTAGGAGACAACCCAAACAAAAACGAGCGGCAGATATGTCCGAACTTAACATCACCCCCCCCCACCCAAAAAAAGAAAAAAGAAAAAAAGACGGCTGCACAACGGCCCATGGTCAGCAAAGCGCTGGCCCTGCCTCGTGCATCACCATGGTAGGCTCTCGATGCAGATCGCTGCAACCACCTCTGATTTTGGATTGGGTGGCAACACCTCCACCTTCCCGAAGCAGCCCATGAGAGGGTTCCCCAAACATCTGCCCGTTGCAAGGGAACTAATGTATGCATGTGGGGCCATTGACTCGACATCCTCGAAATGGGCGTGTCCTTCTTTGAGCACCCCCTTGTTTTCGTTTTAAAGGGAAACCGAGAGGAACAACACTGTTTTTCCCCAACAGCTGAAAGCTTCGGGGCGGTCCGAGCACCAGGTTGCACCAGATTTCCACAAGAGTTCCACAAGGTTCATGAGGCAAGGTTCCACGAGCGTTTCCACGGCGAGGTTCTGCGAGGGTTGCGGAGTGCCCCTTATGTAATTTTCCATGAGGGTTCCGCCAGGGTTCCACAGGGTTCCGCGAGATTCTGAGGCTCCAGCAATTTCCACCACGTTCCACCACGTTCCACAAACAGGTTCAACGAGGTACTGCGAGGGCTGCGGGGTCAGGGTTCCACGCAACAAGGGGGGTTCCAAAACGTTTTGGAAGGGCTATGCAGCAGTCAGAGGGCTGGTTCCACAAAATTCCACAAGGGTTTGAGGATTCCACACGCGTCACGAGGGTTCCACGAGGTTCCGTCGGGCCCCGGTCGGGCACCGTCGTCCGCGCCGTAACGGCTAAAGCGACATCCTAAGCAAAACGGCGGCGCAATATGATTGGCGGCTTGGATTCGTGGTTTGCTTTGCGACCCCCAGCCGTGCACCGATTGCGCCGTCGGGCCCCTATCACGGGGCCCGCTGGCACCGTCAGGCCCCAGTGCACCTTCCCAGCTACAAGCAACAAGGCAAAACTGGCGGCGCGCTACCGACCGGCACCGATTGCACCGTCGGGGATCGGCAACGATTCGGACCCGCTGGCACTGTCGGGCCCTGGTCAAGCACCGTTGGCTGTACAGGCAAAGCGGCATCCTAAGCAAAACCGGCGGTGTGCTATGATTGGTGGCTTGGATCAGTTTGCTTCCCGGGCTGCGGTCGGGCCTGAGCACAAAAAAGAGCACCGCGTGCTGCTGGGGATGTCACCTGAGCCTATTTTTGCCGGGATGGGTGTCCCTGAAAAAAGACACACCCAAAGGATCCTGTGAATACTGGTTTGGCTTGAGAAAAAGCCACCCCCAAAGCAACTCCGAAAAGCGTGGTGCTCAAACCAATAAAGGAATGGCAAGGGCGGTCACACCCATTTCTGCCTCACAAAATCATCCATGACCCTCAATGCCCCAGCTCCAGGTTTGCCTCATGGGCGTGGCTTTTGTGAGGGTACCCAGGGGAAGCCTAAGAAAAGGAACCCCGTCTTCTTTCGTTTTGAGTTCCGACACAACAGACTTTGGCATTTGGACATCTCAGCAAATACCCCAGACGGCCCCTGAGCTGCCGGCAAATGCGCGCAAACAGGCTCATCTAATCACAAGTTTCCTCGTGCGATAACCTTGAAAAGCTGAATTCTGCGGAATTCGCCGAGTCAAGCCAGGTGCCTAGCGGGCTGAGTGACCTTAGAAACAAAGGAATGAACCTTCTTGGGATTTCTTATGGTTGACCATTTGGGTCTGTCTCAAACAAAACGGCCTTTTTTTCATGGGTACTTGGCACGCCCAAGTTCGGAACACGGTGCCTGCCCTTTTGGCAGATCAGGGCGCCACGAAACAGCTGGGTCAAGCAAAGATTTGCACATG